GAGACCCAAAATCTGAGAAAAACGGAAAGACTGGGGAAACAAATTAGTCCCAAAAGTCCCCCAAAACAGTGCAACAATCGATCCAAAAACTTGGGGGCGGACAAAACAAGACTGTGCCCCCATGATGCGGTTGGCGGGGTTGGCACAACGAATCGGAGAGCTCGGGCAAAACGGACGAAACAAGACCACGCAGTGGATCTCACAGATCCGGGCGCTCGACCACGCCTAGCGACTAAAGACTGATTCGCAGTGTCAGGATGCTGAAGATCCGCTCAACCGCGCGATCAAGTTATGGTTGGTCGGAGCGGATCGGAAATATGGCCCAAAGCCGCTGATCGACTCGCCAAGCACGTGCTTTTGAATTTATGTGACGTTGGCAAGATGCCAGATGTCATAAGCCTGGAAAAGCTTTTTAAAGGGGCTGAGAAGCACTAAAATCGACCCCATCCTATAGACTAGATTTCAATCTTGGTGTCCGGTCATTTAAGACCTTAACGAAATCACGTTTTCAAAGAAAAAACTGATTGAAACGGTATCCAGATCGAAAAAAACTATTGGCCATTGAAAGATCCGTTAAAAAAACTAGAAAGCGCAAAAATCGATTCCGTTGCCTCCCTAGGTCTCGACAGCTACGCGACACGCCAAAGCACTTGTAGACTTTGTGGGATTTGCACCGTTTTAGCGCAGCTTCACATCTCTTGCGGTTATCAGAGTTTATCAAGGGAATCAAGAATCACATGTTTTTTTGGCGCGTCGTGTAGCTGTCTAGACCTAGTCGACCCGAGGGTCGGTTTTCGGGATTTTTATCCATTAAAAAAAGACAGAGAACGTAATATTTGAAACCATGATGATCCTTCGATTTCTTGCCCATTGAAATCAATCGAGCAACAAAAATTCGGGGTAGTGAAAAGAAAACAGCTGACCAATCGCCGAGGAGAAGCCCCGAAAAAGGGAGAAGCCCGAGTGAAATGGCCGGGGCGAGCCGCCACGCAGCGCGGGGAAAACAACGGGAATGGCCTGTTTGCGGAAATTGGAGAATGACCCTACCTTGTTTCGCTCGTGCTCACTGGACGTTTCTCTCTCACTCTCGCTCTCTCTCTCTCTCGCTCTCTCTCCTTCTCTCTCTCTCTCTCTCTCTCCTCTCCCTCGCTCAGACAGTGGAACTACAGTCGCACCCCCAAAACACGCTCGAAATGCCTGTAACCAGAAGGCAATCCGAACGTCAAGCTGTCAAGCTTTCGAGCTTGGAACGGCCCTATCTCTCTCTCACTCACTCTCTATCTCCCCCCTCTCTCTCTTTCTTTCTTTCTCTTCTCGATCCCTCTGTCTCTCTCCCTCATTCTGTCTCTCTCTCTCTTTCGCTCTCTCCCTCTCTCTCTCTCTTTCTCTCTGCTCTCTCTCTCTCTCGATCCCTCTGTCTCTCTCCCACTCGACAAAAACCCATTCAAATTATCAAAACACCAAAACAGAAAAATGACTTTTTGTTGTTCTAATTCCTCAAACAAAGTGCATAAAAACAATTTCTTGTCTCTATTCTCGGATTGACAAGGTATTCGTGTTTCCGTAAAACCCGCAAAAAAATATCCCTGGAAAGCGGATTGTCGTGGACAAAAATCTTCCGGGGAAATTGGCTCTCGACTCTCCCCTCTTGCTCAAATCGAATCCACGGTTCGCGGGGGGTGAGCCCGAGAGGGGAGTACCGGGTTTTCTCCGCTTTTGGGAATCCGGGAGTCGATCTTTCGACCTCCTTTCCATTCGTTGCAAGGAGCAAGGGAGCGCGAGATTGCAACGGAGTGAACGTGTGTATTTTGAGGGTTTGAAAATACAGTGATTGTACTTGGGTGGAGATTTGGACTTGATTAAAGGGAGAGGCATCTCTCTCGCTCTCTCTTTCCCTCTCTCTCTCTCTCTCTCTCTCTCTCTCTCTCTCTCCCTCTCTCTATCTTCCCCCCCCCCTCTCCATCGGCCAAAAATAAGTTGCAAATTACTCCAGAAGACATTCAAATATGCAAAATATTTGTATTTATTCCGTAATCTTCAAAATAACGCAGAAAAAAAGCACCAAAACGTGACAATAATCGCATTTTTGCTTTGAAAAACGTGGCTGCAGATAATCATGTGTTGTTGACCAGGACGACTGTCCGATGCCTCTCCTCCCTGGGAAAATCGGGCGATCTGAAGTACTTGCAAAAGAAGAGGGACAAAAACTCTCTTTTTGGGGAGAGGGACAACCCGGAAATCGGATCGGCCATGTTTGATAGGCAAATATGACAAGGTCACGCTTTTTCTTCGATCCAAAATAATCTCTGCCAGCCTGCCCATTCCATTCCCAAATGATCGCTGCTAGCCTGCGTAGATTTCCAAGAACACCCACTTCTCCCTCAGCTTCCGGAAGAACTGCTCGCTATCCTCGGCCGCGCATCGCATTGGTGGTGGCGACGCTTTGGGGCGGGACTCGCTAAAAGGGACGCTTTTTAGGGAACACGGTTGGGAGGAAAACAGAGGAGCACCACGTCATTTTCTCGGAAAAACTGTGGGTTGGGGTGGGGTTGGCGGGAGGTCTCTGATTGACAATTCGCTTACCGGAGCATCTTTTGCAGATAGCCATCTAGCTCGGCGGAGAGACGGTCCCAGGTCTGCAAAAGGGTGCTAGCGGAGATCGTTGAGGAATGGAAAGACAGTCTAGCAGACATAATTTGAGAATGGAAGGGGCAGGCTAGCAGAGACAATTGAGGAAATCAGGTCGCTGAATCATTCCAAGGGAACTGGAAGAAATCTCTGAGGAATCGGAAGGTGAGAACATGCTAGGAGAAGGTCTTGGAGGAAGTGTTAGAGAAAGGGAGAGAGGGTGCGAGAGAGAGAGAGAAAGAGAAAGCGAGAGAGAAAGAGAGAGAGGGAGAGAGAGAGAGAGAGGGAGAGGAGAGAGAGGGAGAGGAGAGAGAGAAAGAGTGTTTAGCCTTAAAGCTTTGTCAAACCTCCTCATGCTCATCCCAAAAATGAACGTGCGTCGTACTGTTGCGTTTCGCTGTCCCTTTACTCTCATTTTTGACGGTCTCAGCACTCTCTTTCGGCTTTTTAGGCCCGTCTTCAAATAGCCCCGCCAAATCCTGGATTGCCGGGGAGCTGAAAAAAAGGAAGCTACAGAACGCAAACGATAGAACTACCGGGGTAAGGAACAGAAACTATTCCTCCTCGACTCGGTCATTGGCGAGATTTGACGATCGATTTGGACAAATTTTTCAGTCTGTGTGCCTTCATCACGAATTTTGTCATCCTAGAGGAAACATTAAATCAAATCTGCGTTGCTTAAAAGGGGCTTGAAGTGCGGAATCGTCCGTATCCATGACCTAGGTCTAGACAGCTGGCAACAGGCGAAAACACGAATGTGAGAGCGTTTGAAATTTTCTCTACGTGAAGTTCAGAGCATACATTAAAATGAGAACGAGTCGTGTATTGGCGCGTTGCGTAGCTGTCTAGACTGAGTGGGGCCACGGGCCGATTCTGGCGCTTCCTGGATTAAAACCGATACCTCGGTCTGCGTGGCTTCCGTGATTTTCAGGAACAAATTCGGGGCCGGCTCGGGCGGCTCAATTCCATTGCCATTTTCGTCGAAAATGTGTAGATTCAGGTCGACCAGTCGGCACTCATCTCCCAGATCGACACCGTCGGATACGATTTTTACTAAAAACGATTTAGAATGGTCAAAAAGAATTGGATTTTTTTTGCTTTTACGGATTGGCTTTAAGTTCGGTCTGACTTACCTATATTATTCGAGACCTTCAGCCGCAGCTGCTTTGCCACCAAGAACTCGTCGCTGGGCTCGATTTCAGAGGTCAATTCGCGTAGCTGGTTTCGGATTAGTTTACCCCCGATTTCAGTGCTTATCTGAAATCCATGGCCATTTACTAACGCTTACTAGTACTAATCTTTAGCTGAAGAATAAGCTAAACGATACCTTAAAGGTTTCTGCCCTGTAGCAGCCCGTGAATGCATTGATACGCTGCCGGACCATATTGAGGACATTTAGGATCGGGGCACCGTGGATCTGGAATTTTTTGTGTTCTCATTCGCTCTTCCCCTATCTCTCACTCTCTCACCCTCTCTCTCGTTCTCTCACTCACTCGCTCTCTCTCTCTCTCTCTCTCTCTCTCTCTCTCTCTCTCTCCCTCTCTTTATCTCTCTGTCTCTCTCTCCCTCCCTCCCTCTCTCTCTCTCTCTCTCTCTCTCTCTCTCTCTCTCTTTCTCCGTCTCTTTCTGTCTCTCTCTGTCTCTCTGTCTCTCTCTCACTCTCTCTGCCATCCCTTAAGTCATTTTCGTACCTTAAATGTCGGCATCTCCACCAATAGCATAAAAATGAAGTCGAGCTCCCCGGCAGTGCGTTTGAGAAAGCTTATCCGGCTCATCTAAATAGAGTTAGGCAATGTTTAGACGTTTGTCGTAAGAACCGGTATATGCGGCTCCAAGGCGCTCCTGAATAACCTCGCCCCGGTCCACGTCTTCCATTGATTCAGGAAAAAGTTGGTCGACATGTCTTCCATTGTTTTAAAGGCGAATAGAAGGTAGCCAGGATCTGGCAGAGACGGCGTGTCAATTTTTGGTTCGAGCGTCTGGAGGACTCGGTAGATTGCTGAAAAAAATGGGGATTTCTGCTCTTTTAATGGACTGGAAGGCAATAAGAAAAGTTTTTTTTAATGAATTATGTGTGAATTTTGAATAAATTAGAAGTGTAATAATGTGTAAATTTGTATAATTAAATTTAAAAAAACGCGACTAGTTCATGGAATTTTTGTGGAAACAGTAAATTTTCATGCAATACCCGACTCAAAATCTGAAGGGTTTTTTATGTGGAAAGACGCTTTAGACCGTTTTCCAAAGCTTAGAGGACAGTCCCTGATCCATTAATTCCATTAAAACGGTACCTTTAGCTTCCGATCCACCCAAACCATTGCCGTTTTGTGATTCCGTAATGATACCATCGACGCAGGCAATGTCGATAGTAGGATAGAGTCCTGAATTACTTAGGCCTTAAATCTCTTTTGCTCTCTCCCCCCTCACTCTCTCTCTCGCTCTCTCTCGCTCTCTCTCGCTGCTTCTCTCTCGTGTACTCTTCTCTCTCCCTCTCTCTCTTGTAATCTTTCTCTCTCTCGCCCACCATCTCTCACCTCCATCTTTCTCCACGCTTTTAAAACGTTTCAAAGTTATCGATTCCACGGTAGGATGGCCGAAATCAAGATGCGAGCAAAGCTCAAAATTTCCGGGGGCATCTTCCGGTTCGTAGAATTGGACAGCGACGTAGCGCTCGAACATCTGAAGCTTAACGGAATCGAAGAGTCCACCCCTTCCGTCGACTAGGTCTATACAGCTACGCTACGCGCCAACAAACGTTTGTAATAGTCTGGAATTTTTTGCCTCAAAAGATCCCTGAAAATGTACATTTGCAATAGATAATCTTTTTGGTTGTCGCGTGGGTGTTTAGCCCAAGGCGTACGACGGGGTCGATTCAATCGCTTCCTAGCGCCCTTAAAGTGCAAAATTTTTTGCAGAATGTGTGTGCGTGCTAATCCGAAAAAGACAACAAGAAAAGGTCCAAAAACTGCTAAGTATCCCCGGGGGCTTATGCCAATATTCCCTGCACAACCTCTGGGTGGGACCCCAAATTGGATTTCCCCAACAATTGCCCCCACCACAAACAATCTGCCTTCTCCCACACTGGGTCGTCACTTTTTCCGCAGCGGACAACAAGAATATTTTTGGATTGCATTTTTTTTGCGCATAAAAATACATAGGAAAATATATGGCGTCTTTATTCAAATTACCCAAAAAATCATGACTATGTAATCAAAGACCCGTGCTGGGATATATGGAAGTACAAAAAATAAAGGCAAAGGCTTTTGGTGGAACCGGACAGCGAAATAAAAGAGGGAGAGAGAGAGAGAGTGAGAGAGAGAGAGACAGAGTCAATGTCATATTCTATTCCTTATTCTTTGGCCCGCCCTTGTAGAAGCCCTTCAGCTGATCCGGCGGATCTGTAGCTGCCCCATACAAATATGCGAGCTGCGTGAAAATCCGCTTCATCTGCGTGGTTGTTTTGTAGGCGCCTAAAGTCCAATTGAATTTAGTTCCTTAGGGCCAATAAATAGGCAAGAACGTCGCCTAAGTTAGTTAGCTAAATCTCACCAAAAATATGGCTCCTTGCCAACATCTGGAATTCCGTTTGCTTGTCGTCCCATTGGAAGCTGAAATCAAAGTTTGTTAAGCCCAATAAAGCTATTGACAAATGTTGAAGGGTAAAGTGGCAAGCGCGAAAATCGACTTCTTCCATCAACTAGGTCTCGACGGTTACGCGAGATGGCAGAACACGCCTAAAATCGCGGTTTGACACCTTCTAGTCAAAACTACGATTTCTTAGGGCTATGAAGATTATTTTAAGACGTGTTTCCGCACTTTCCGTATTTGTCTAGACCTAGTTGACCTATGGGGTCGACTCTCGCATATTCAAGTCCCTTTAAAAATCCTCACTTTGAGCCATAGGTATGGAAATCGTGCGTAGCATTGATCTCCTTGGTCAGCGTGCCGGTAATCCACGCATCGTCTACCTAAAACCAACATATATTTTGTCCGTGTTGTCAGCATTCATTGACGTATAGATTGGCACATCGTAGAATTTATTACTGTATCGCAAAAATTTAAAAAATCGCGATTGATGACATACCGAAACGTAAAATTCGTGTTGTTCGGCCTGATGCACTAGCGGGCCGCAAAGGTCGGCTGTCTAAAAATTTCAATAAGCTGTTTTAAGCAAAACTTAATAATTTTTTTCTATAAAATTTATCTCCTTTAAAATATATATACAAAAATTTATTTAATTACCTGCAACAGCGCCGGCCCACTACAGTAGTCCTCCCAGCTGTCCCCTGGATGAGCCTCTTTTGGGACGTACCTAAAATTGACATGTTCTTTTTTGGTTCTTCTACCTTCACGATCCCTTTAAAAACAAACGGCAAATGCTTACCATGGGCTGTGGATATCCCTATAAACGGGCCCGGCAAAATTTGTGCACGTGAAGCTGCGCTTGGTTTGGATTTTCCCTGCTTGCTGGAGGTCCATAAAAATCCAGAAGATGTTGGGGAGGATGTCATCTGAAAAGGAAGGTGAGAGAGAGAGATAGAGAGAGAGAGAGAGGGGAGAGAGAAAAAACACACCATCCATCTTGACGATCATCTTCACGTCCGGGCAATAATCACGGACGTACCTCATCCAGGCGAGGTACTGAACGGCTAGATTTTCGCGTATTCTCGTTCTCGCTCTTTCCCTCTCTCTCTCTCCCTCTCTCTCTCTCATCTCTCTCACTGACTTTAATCGTCATATTCCGATACGCATCCATAAAATCCGCTTGGATAATGTCACCATGTATCCGAGATTCGGCCCTGACATTTTCTTCGATCTGCGGATCAGCACTCCGTCCCACAGCGAATAGGGTACGGTAGCCAAACTAAAATGTCAGAAACGTCGTCCTGAGAGAGAGAGAGAGAGGGGAGAGAGGGAGGGAGAGAGAGAGCAGATTTTGCGTACCTTGTCGTACCATTGCTTTTGCGCATAGGTCGCCCGGATGCCGTTTCTTCGCACGTCGTTGTGAACGGCGGTGTGGACAACAAAAAGTGTCTAAATTTGCATTAACTTTGTATGACAATTAATAAGTTAAAAGCTTCCCTAAAACGCTTAAATAAGCTTACCTTCATCCCGGGAGGGCATATCGTATCCGAAAATATCGTCCAGTTGAACGGTTTGAAGAACTGACATGGGCAGATTTTCTATCGGCTCTCTCTGCTTCTCTCTCACTCTCTCGCACTATCTCTCTCTCTCTCCCTAACTCACCGCATGCGCTTTTGGATTCACGCCATCCATTTTTACCGGCGGAATTTTCACTTCCGGCAGAAGCTGTGGCAATGGAGTAGTTGTAGTTTGTATCACCGGCGGTAATTTTTCGATTTTTGCTTTTTCCAAATCCGCAAGAAAATCGATACTTGGTCCAATTTCCTAAAAAACCAGTGAAATAAATTGCCAGCGTCCAGAACTTACCTTAGAATTTGGCCCCTTCGCTTCTTTTTCTGGTTTCAGGTAAGGCGTAGGGATTAAAGCTAGAAATTAAGTTTTTGGTTTTTTTTTTTAATTTAATATAAATTTAAAATTAGCTAATATGTGTTTTAAGTATTTCTTTATCTTTAATGTCTATATTTTATTGAATTAAATGAATTAAATGGCTTACATAACGGTATTGCCACGCCATCCCCAAACGCTGGGGTCCCATTTCGAACCAGCACAAAAATTAGCGTAGCTGCACAAAAAACGGCCAGATATCGTAACATTGGTAATCTCATCTAAATACACGAAAATTAACAATTTCGAAAAAGGTAATATAATAAATTTATAGGTCTTTGAAAACCAGGTCTGAAAAAATCGGTTCTGTCGCAGTATCGGGGGGCAAGGGGGAGGGATCAGCGTTTCTCCTAGAGAAACAAAAAGGTCTAGGAAACTTATATTGAGTGTTTTAAACGTGTTTTCTAATAGCATTTATATGATATATTTTAATTGGCAAAAACAATGAAAAATCTTGGAAAAATATTTTTTAGTTGGAATTTTGCCGGTCTCCCAACGCAAACCGCGATTGTTGGAAGAAAGGCCATATTTTTTCTAATTTTTAATCAAAAGCTATGAGGTTTTTGCGACTAGGACAAGTAAAAGATCGTTTAAAAACACTTCCTCAATTTATATCAGAAAAAAAATCGATCCCTCCCCACCTGAAAATTCAAAAAAACCGGTTAAATCGAAAAATCCAAGAAAAAGTTTTTTTTTCAGAGGATTTGTGGCTTTGCCAAAAATTCCGATAAATTCGATGAATGCTAGTTCATAAAGTAGTTTATTTGGAGACTTTAAATTTGCATAAATTCTCAGTAAAAGTAGTGAAACGTGAGAAAATCGCCAATCGGTACAAGGGAAGCGAAAAATTCGATTACATCCAAGAACGGATCAAGTTAATTTATTGGAAAATAAAAATAAAAATAACATTTATATAGCTGATTTCAGCAGTCTTTTCACTAATTTACCCCACGATATAGTTAACTCAGCTATTAATGGTATACTAGATATCTGTTTCCAAAATTCTAAAAAACCCAATATAAAACTAGGATACAAAAATTGCTATTATACAAATGACGGAGGAAATAACACCTACAATAAAAACCAAATTATTTATTTAGTTAAATACCTTCTAAATAATAGCTTTGTA